TATAATTTAACATTGATGAGCCTCCTTGAGATTGACCTTTCTTGTTTTTAAATCTATTACAAGCCTTTAACTTGAAAATAAACGGCTTACCTTACCTTACCTTAAGTATTAGTAGAGCATTTGAATTATCAAGTTGGATGGGTTTTTGAACAAGTGTGGGAGTATAACTTCAAAGAAGAATAGGTTAGTTGTTTTGGTTGAATTGTTTGGAAAAGATGGAGGTGGAGGTTTATTATTTTCTACTTAAGACATGAACTTCATGAGAAAAGTTTTATGGAAAAACATGACATGAAATCCGAACTTGAACAGAGTATCAAAGGGATCAAACAATGTTGGATTGGGCTGATTTTTGGACAGGTAGCTTCTTTTAGCCCTTATTCAATTTCTAGTAAATTTTTAGAATTTTTTTATCGGTGAAGATATGCTTTCAACCTATGGCAATACTCGGACTGTTCTAGAAATACGGGAACGACTAGTTGAGCCAAAAAAAAAATGAAGAGAAAGAGAGAGAGAGAGAGAGAGAGAGAGAGAATAAATATGTGTCATGCTTATCCATTTTATATCTAAAGAAAATGTGTGATGATGTTCATGTGCTTGAGAAAAGGGAAGAAAGTATGAGGAAGTTGATAAGTGTTTGAATTTTAGACAATAGGTTTTTGGTCGTAATGGCTTTATTTACCTAAGTTATTAGTCAAATGCTTTATTAATTTCTTTGGTTTCACAATCTCATATCATAAAAATTCCTTACCTTTCCTTAGCAAGATTACAACCTATTGAAAAGTCCTTTTGATTTGTGTTATGCATGTGATCTAAGTGGTGGAGAGTTGAGATGATAAGCAAGCCTATGGTAGTATAATTTTATGGAATGAAGTTGAGTGAAATACTTGCCCTAAGCACTTGAGAGTTGGAGAGTTTATCTTGTGAGGGTCTACCAATTTCGTTTACTTTGTTTTGAAAGAAATTGCAATTTTGATTGAGTTTTAAGTTGTTGAGATAATTTATTCATGATGTTTTATCAATCTTGAAGATTTTTATTGCCTTTGTATTTATGACTTTCCAAATTGTGATATCATTGAAGAGTGTTTATACATGTATAAAATTTATACAAATATTTTATGGGTATATCTTCGAAAACCCTCGAGAGACATAACTCATCCACTATGGGTGACCTAGGGGTTTAAAGGCTTATTGCATATGCTAAATACAATTGTGATTCCTACAAAAGTGAGTTAGAATGTATTTAATTTCATGTAGTTAGTTTAGTTTGCTTTGCCAAGGACGTGCAAAAAGATCAAGTGTGGGATAATTTGATAAGTATAATTTATACATATATTTTATGTAAACTTAGAGTTTAAATTTGTTAATTATGCGGTAATTTATGTTTTATTTGATATAAATTAATTCCCATGTACTTTAAATTGGCGAGTACAAAGAATTAAGAGAAGACTAAAGAAGTAATGCGAAAACAAGGATTGAAATGAAAATAAAAATCAAAAGCAAGGATTAAAGAGTAAAGATAAAACAAGTGTTTGACTTGGACACTACAAAAAGCCATTCATCCTATTCTATAAGGAGAGTTACGTGGTGGACTAAAAGAAAAGAGTTTTATGCATAAAAGAGGTGGAGAGAGAGATGGCTAAGGGGAGAAAAATAAAGAAATAGGAAGTTGTACCGGGAAAGCTAAAAAAAGCCAAAGAAAGTGGATATGCACGGATAGAGGCAGATTTATGGAGTTGCACGGCACTAAAAAAAGGAGGCTTTGGCACGACGAGTATAAAGGAAATCTTTTACATGGCGGTAGGGAGTTTTTTTTTTGGTTGGTTTTAGCACTTGCACTGCAGAGAGGAAGATTGCACGGCTAGAGAAAAGAAGGTAATTGGAGACTAGCGACGGAAGAAAAAAAAATTATAAGCATACGGATTCATTAGACAAGCAATTGAATTTTCTTTAATTATTATTATGATAGATTGTCGATGTGATATTTTATTTTCGGATCCAATAAATTTTTTTATGGAGAGATAAACTATTAAGTTAGGGATGGATGATTTTAATTCCTATTTTATGTGATTAATTATTTTTCTCAACTCAAGACTCGATTCTCGATGTATGATGAATTTATATTGCTGAATTTAATCTTTTAAGAGAGTGATTACCTCTTATTGATTTAATGACATGTGCTTGAGCCCGAGAGGAAATTATATGTGTTAGATTAGAACAATATAAATCATTAGTTTACTATTAATCGAAAGACAATTAGTTCTAGTGCGATAATGAAAAAGAGAAGTGCATGATGATATGCTTATTTTACATTAGAGGATTCCATTGATTCTAATGCATTTAGATCTTAATTTAAGTCACATAGAAATATGAATGATTTGTTAGGTGAAGAATAAGGTTGATCTAACTAGAGATAGCTTATTAACTTGTTTAGGAAATTCCGTCATCACATATATTAAGATAGACTTTAAGATGGGTTGTGAGTTGAGATAATAAAATTAATTGCACAAGTTAGAATTAAATGAATCTATCCCTAGCTGCTTTCATATCATCTTGTTAGTAATTTTCAATTCCGCAAATTTGGAATAGAGTTCTAATTTAATTTTTATTCTTTTAATTGTTTCGATTAATTCAACTTATTTTAAGTTAGATAATTTTAGTAGTGTAATTTAATTTCTCGTGGGAACGATACTTTCTTATCCTTTATTGCATGATTAGATTGGATTTATTGCTTATCTAGTATGCAATGTAATTCTTTAAACAATGATTTCTTTTATTGTGGAGTGAGTTAGAAGCATGCGAAGGATTACTGGATTTAAAGCTGGGAGGCTTCTTGTTGTTATATATTTTGGGGGTGCCATTAATTGCTGGAAAGCAGATTTATGCTGATTGCAAACCATGTATTAATAGAGTATATGTTAAGATGCAACATTGGGCAACAAAAATGCTTCTTCTTTTTTCTTTTTTTATTAATCTGCTGGGAGATTGTTGCTGATATCCTTAGTAATCTTCAGCATAAAGAATTATTAGTGTACAATTTTTTTTATTCCCACTAGTGTTATTAAGAACTTGGAATAGAAATGTAATGCATTTCTTTGAAAGGGTAAGGCAAAAAAAGCTTTTGGTGTCAAGGTAGCTTGGTCCAAGGTGACATTGCCTAAACAAAGAGGATTTCGTATGAAGAAAATAGAATATTGCTTCCATTTTTAGATGTATCATGAGTAGTTTTCTTAAAGCTGGATCCTTGTGGGTTGCCTAGATTCTATCTTATAGAGAGAAAGGATAACAGTCTTTGGGGCCTGAATGTACTAGTGATTGTGCATGGTATAGGAAAAAAGCTCCGAAAGCTGAGAGAGTTAGTCTAGGATCAAATCCACTATGTTGTAGGCAATTCACTTATGGTGGGATAACTAGCACCCTGCTGGTGTTCTTGTTAAAGCTTATGGATGTAGACTACTCTACAAATCAGGTATTCCATAATAATTCTAATTCAAGATTGGAAACTGTAATGAAGAATGGAGAGTGGGTTTGGCCTGGTGCAAAATCAGATGATATGGTGGTGTCTATTCAAGGTACAATTCTACTTGATGTTGCTTGGGAGAATAGTGTAGCATGGCTGGTCTAGTTCTAATGGAATCTATTCAACTAGAAATGCTCGGGAATTATTGAGAAGTAAAGGAGTTGAGAGCTGATTGGCACAAATTGATTTGAGGTCCTTTACATATTCCCACACACAGTTTCATTCCATGGCTTGCTGTATTAAATAGATTTTCCACAAAGATGCGTCAAGTACATATGGAAAGAAACATCAAACGTTGTTTGCTTGCTATGCGGAAGTGCTAAAGAAGATTGTGATCACCTTTTCTTTTGATTGTCAGTACTCATGATATAGGGATTAAGTGGAACAGAATTTGATTGAATGGTAGAGTTGTAGAAACAACTCCTTTTTTCATATTTAAACTTTTTTTAAATATATATTAATTTTTTTACTCGCGTTATGTTGTGGGTCGAATAAAATACATAAAACTTATACAATAGATCCACATCCTAATTTACAAATGAGCTTGGCCCTTTTATACAGTACGCGTGCTTTTCAAATTGTTTTGATTGATATAATTTTTTTATTCTTTTTCATATTAATCAAGGTACATTTATTCTTCTTTTTATACATTTTGCTTATATTTTTTTTATAACATTATTAGTTCATGAGATAACGTGACATATCTATTTTTAAATTCATAACATGTGTCTTATATAAGATCCTAATAAAAAAAATTTAATAAAAAAAATTCAAAAAATATATGAATTCAGTTAATACAATTTGAAGAGTATATTGATCAAATCATTATTTTTTTTCTTTTTTCTTTTTTTCTTTTTTATATGTTATTATTATTTTTTTTTTTGAAAGTCACTTCTTGAATGCACAAAACGTGTAATAAATGGGATTTCATCACAATAAAATTATGAAAAATATTTTTAAAAAAAGTATTATAATAATTTGAAAACAAAAAAAAAACTTGCAAATCAAACTTGACATGCAATTAAAAAAATAAAGCATAAATATGTTTGTAAAAATTAAAAAGAAAAAAATAGTAATATTGATTATTAGCTAATTATCTATATTAAATAAGAAAATGTGGTGCAATCCTTTTTTTTTTTTTTTTTTTGACGAAAGCAACCCTATTTTTCACTTTAAATTTCTCAAATATTCAAAAACAATTATTATTTTTTTGGAGGATTAGACCTATTAATTAATAATTTATAACTAATCTATATTCAAATCACCATGATTTTGTTTAATAATTGCACGCTGGGTTTTTTATTATTATTATTTTAAACTTATTACAACAATTTTTTTTTTAAGAAAAAAACACATATGCTAATAAAACTAATCTTCTTGATGAAGCAGTCTTGAATCGTAAATTTTTTGCTATGCGTAGGCAATGGATGTTACTTTTATTGTATTTGTATGGTTTAGTGGTATTTTTTACTCCTCAACTATCATGCTTTTGGTAAATGTTGTTCCTCTATTGGATTTGAGTGTTTTACTTGGGAATGCACTTATTGACATGTATGCTAAGTGTGGAAGTATTGAGTTAGCACTTCAGGTGTTTCAAACGATGAGAGAGAAAGATGTTACAACATGGAATTCGGTTATAGGAGGATTGGCTTTTCATGGCCATGCTAAGGAATCAATCAATTTGTTTGTTGAAATGCAGAGATTGAAAAATATTAAGCCAAATGATATAACTTTTGTTGGGGTGATTGTTGCTTGTAGTCATGCCAGGAGTGTTGAAGAGGGGCGCCGGTATTTCAAACTTATGAGAGAGAGGTATAATATAGAGCCAAATATAAGACATTACGGTTGTATGGTGGATTTGTTAGGACGTGCAGGGTTATTGACTGAAGCATTTGAGTTCATAGCCAAAATGGAGATTGAACCTAATGCTATAGTTTGGAGGACTCTGCTTGGGGCTTGTAGAGTTCATGGAAATGTTGAACTGGGGAGACTTGCAAATGAGAGACTGCTTAAAATAAGAAGGGACGAGAGTGGAGATTATGTGCTACTTTCAAACATATATGCTTCAGCTGGTGAGTGGGATGGAGCTGAGGAGGTGAGGAAGTTGATGGATGATGGTGGAGTGAGCAAAGAAGCTGGCCGCAGCCTAATTGAAGCAGATGACAGAGCTCTCATGCAATTCTTGTTTGATTCAAAACCCAAGTTAAATTCAAGAAGCCAAGCGTCATGAGCTGCAACTGGGTGAGAGTATGCTCTCATGTTAGATTTATATATTATTTGGATAGAGTTCAACATTTTAAATGCATAATTGTTCTCATCAATCTATTGCATATTATTTAGATTTAAGAAAACAGTCTTGACCTTTTTTCATTTTAGTCCTTATGTGTTACTATTTATTTGATCTTTTTTGTTAATGAGTTAGGTAATAAACAAGAATGTTCGAGGCTGGTTGGTGAAACGAAATTTAGCTTCTTTATAGACTCCATTCCAAGTTTGTGCTTCAAGTAACTGAACTAACTTTTGGTGTGAAATGTAATACCTTGAACCTCGCTATGATAAACCTATGAGGAAAAAAAAAACTTATAACAGTAAAGAATTTGACAATATTTCCATTTTCCAATATTACAGTCATCCTAAACCCCTGTTTACTAACAGAAGAAGTTAGTATTCAAATGATGTGGATTTTATCCTGCGTAGGACCTTGACGTAAAATGATTCAAACTTGGGGATAATGCTAAGTTTCATCATTAAGTTGCATGATTTTTTAGGTTTAATGTAGCATGATAACTTATTTTAAACCATATAAAAAATTTAACCTCAGCCAATTCGTAGCATATCAACAAGCTTTATAACAAGGAAAATCGTGTTATCAAGAATGATGAAATTTAGTGTTAACTATTCCTGTTAGTAATAACACTTGAGCAATGTTTGGGATCAGGAAACTCTGCTAGATGACTTATTTATTGATCATAATACATTATTTAAGTTCCAAGTTATTTGATTTTATATTTTGGGAATGCTGGCATTCTGGTTCTCATTTTTCAAGTCTTGAAAGTACTTATACTGCATAGCACACTAGCATTGCAATATGATTTATATCCAGCCCATAGCATCAATTTTTACTTCCCTTCCCCTTGTCCTGTTTTTATTCACATCTTCTCAGAAATCTGAAGGTAAATCTGCGGCCTCTGATTTATGCTCTAGTATTGAGCTAAAACAACCGTTTATCAATAAGCAAATGTAGCCACCAGTGTCTTATGCACAGAAACCTAACACAGAGGGCTGCTCTCATCTCCTCTAGACTTCGAGCTTAGCAATTTATTCTCAAAAGGAAAGAAAAGTGTACACTGCACTATACTTCTACTCATAGTTATCAGTTCAATCTACTACAGGCATCCCACTTTTGTCTTCCACTTCTCTCTCTCAGAGAAAAATTTACCACATGCATCTTTGAAGTTCTCGGAATATCTTCTTTTGTTTTCACTTGAGAAGATTGTTTCTTTTTAGCAATAGTTATTTATTGCCTGATCTGTTTGTTGATTATTTACAAGTTCTGAAATGAGGTTTACGTAAATTCATGTTACGTATGTGCAAATTGCCTCCATTTGAATGAGAAGTTCTGCACTCACAAATTATAAAGAAAAGTACTATTTTGTAGTATTATCTCTTTCCAGTGTTCACTCCATTTCGGGGCATTCTGAGCATATTTTGGTGCGTGTTTAAACTTGTTGGTAATTCAGTGGTTTCCCCTTCTGTGATCGGAAGTTTGAAGTCGGCTTTGGTTTTATATACCAATGCTCTCTTTTATTCTGCCCAAAACATTTAAGGGGGAGAAAATATAAAATACCAATTGGATCCACTAGAAATCAAATATTACCCAATTAAGCCCCATGATTAAAATTTATGATAAGAGTACATCGTCATTTTAAAACAAATAGGTCCTCAGTTTTTATGTTTTTGAAGGACAAAAAGGATATGGTTAATTGGGTAGTGTCTCATAGGTGCAGGACCCAATTGGGAATTTATTTCTTTAGGGACCCAATCAAGAACTGGGTGATAGTTGGTGGATAAATATGTCATTTGCCCGTACCTTTTTTTTTTTTTCTTTTTTCCTTCCTTCTTGCACTATAATCAAATCAATGTACCAGTAACAGATAGAAGAGTTGTAGTCACTTTTTAACACTCACATTGCAAAGCAATACTTGAAGAAACAAAAAGCAACACCATAAATCACATATCAAAGCTGACAAAGAAAAACTTAGAAACAAGATAACATGAGTCACACTCTTCGATACAGTCACTCTTGCAAACATAAAGCGACAGATATGACTATTGCACTGATCTATTTACGGCGAGAAAGAGCCACTGCGGACAACAAGATTAGTAGGATGAGCACTGCAACTCCGATGAAGGATCCGATCAAGGAGCCAGAGATACGCTCGCAGAAGGAGTTGAATTGTTGGCAGATGGGAAACCAATTTGCCCTCGCATTTCCATTGTGTGCCAAGTACACAATAGCTGCCGCTGCAGAAGCTCCGGCAGTTAAAAGACCAAGCATTGCCTGCATGATGGTAACCTCAATCCCATTAGAAAACTCAAAACACTTTTCCAGGAACAATATATGGTTAATTATTCAAACTTGCTTTAATTAAAGCTAGTTGTATATTAATCTTTGCGTATTTTTTTGGCTTCTCAAGAGAATCAATCCTCTTGTTTTCAGATAGTTTCTAGTTGTATATTAAGCTTTGTCGTTAGTACCGTATCAAGGATGACCAAAAGAATTCTACTGCTCTGTGCATTGCTCCTCACGATGTTGAAGATGGAAATCGAGAGAGAGAAAAGCAGATAGGCGCTTACAACGCCATTGGCAGCCACAAAAAACCTGTTGACAGGCCATAAGTTTGAAAATATTTATCCCGTACGTGGTAGTTTTAAACAAACAAAACCTTTACGAATAGAGAATAGAACTAACGTATATGAGAATACTTACGTGAGTGTTAGAAGATCGTCGTACTCGGCCCTGAACCGAATAAACTGTGTGGAGAAAGGAAGTGTTTCATTGGTTGTTGCCATGGCAATTGCACTCCCCAGGGTACCAATGAATGCAAGTATCCTCAAGATGAAGTCAAGTATGGACACCCCTCTTCTTACACCAGCTTTGGGGCTTAAACTCTTGCTCTCACCAAGCTCAATGGGACCTGACTTCATTTTTAGATAGGAGAAGCTCGAGTAATTGCAAATCTCCTGTGGCAATAGTTTGAGAAGACTGCAACGGGTATTTATATGCATGCTAGCAATATATGTACAAGTATGATAGTAGTTGACTAGCTGTCATTGGCATGAGAAACCAACTTCCCTAATCGAAGGCACTACCCAAATTAATGTCATCTAATAACTTCATAAAGGTTGTTTCCGAAAAGAGGCTACCTGCCGTACTTGCTCTAGCATTAACGTAATTAAGAATAGAGATTACCTGCCGTACTTGCTCTAGCATTAATATACTTCACATAATTGAGTGTCTGAGGTACGGGTCACTACGTGTCCTCTCTCTACGAAACCCACCAAACCACATGCCCTGAATTGGCAAAGTGACTTTATTCCAATTTTACTAAATAAGATAAGAGAATATCCCTGTGTATCATTCTGCATCCCACAGTCCACACCGGTGGGAGCTACAAGGAATTTGGAGCGGTTAACGTTTTCAAGAGCAGAGTCTGAAGGAGGTGACACTTGTAGATTTATTTAGTTTTTGAATCGCAATTCGTCAATAAACGCCATAGATATTAGAACCAATCCACTTAGAGCCGTACCTTTTGTTTTATTTTATTTTTTTCATGATGATAATTATTAGTTAATTATTGTTTACTTTTCTTGATAAATTCGTTAGACTCTATGCCTATAGCAATAGAGCAAGGGCTTAATGACACCCTATTGACTTGTTAACATGCAAAGCACTCTAATGGTAATGACAAGTTGACATGTAGTTGGTGCTAGATTGCAAAAATAATCAACGAATCCACTTGGTTGTAATCAGATTAGTAACTCAACTTTCTTTTGGGATAAATGAAATTGCATTTGTTAACTTTTTTTTATATAAAAAAAAGAGGAAAAGAAAAAAAAATTGAGGATGGAAGACCACACTTATAGGGATAGAGACGTTAAGACAAAAACCATCATATCTAGGGATGGCAATGAGCCTATTACCCAGCTCATTAAGTCAATTTCTTGCCCTAATCACTAAGAAATATTATATTCATTACCTATTAAAAATCGTTTACCTATTTATTTACTCGATCCATATCCATTATATGATACCTTATCCATACTTTATCCATACCCGTTTATCTATTAATTTTTTAAGTTTTAATTTTAATTCTTTTAATGACACCCTAATCAATGACTTGTTAACATGCAAAGCACTTTAATGCTAATGACAAGTTGACATGTAGTTGGTGTTAGATTGCAAAAATAATCAACAAAGAAATGAAAAAGGAAAATTGAGGATGGAAGACCCCAGGTACCGGGATAGAGAAGCTAAGACAAAAACCAACCTCCCACGGTGGCACAATGTAGAGAATAGAGTTTCTTAAGAAAAACAAATATTTTCAGCTTAATATCCGCAATTCATTTGCTATATGTGATAGATGTAAGCAAAGACATTTTACTATTCATCCCTAGCTGATTTTTGTACGGAGGTTATTCCTTCTTATATATATATATATATATTCTCTCTGTATTATTAGATGATCATCGATAAGTTGCTAATTATTAAATTTAAACAATAAACTAATTGCCTCAAATAATAGTAAATCCAAGATGAACTGATAACACCAAAATATGCGTTCATGTAATCATTTATCATTCTAACATTAATCAGATATATATCAAGTACATCAAATCTCAAAGGTTTCTTTCTACACTCGATGTTAATCTCATGATGTTACAGTTATTTACAACTTATTTGGCATGAAGGCATTCACATCTAAGTTGGACTCCACGCCTTCAATGACAGTGCGGTTAGCTGAGTGAATACCCAGTAACATTTGCTTCCTGAACCAATCATAGGCCACAAGTCATAAACTGGCATACATTTTGGAGTGAATGGCAGGTGATTTTTGTTCCTGGTCAAATTTGATCCTCAATATCATAAGTTACTTAAAATAATGATAATATGAAAATGCCAAATGTAAGATACAGTGATTAATCCGATTTTATTCCCTGACTAGATTAGTATTTCAACTTTTTATTTTATTCACAGAACAGCTTAGAATCATCCAAGTGACCGTCTGACTGATGTGTATCCTAGATGGTACTCACTGTGTTCTTGTAAATTAGCAGTCCATCTGGAAACGAACATAAAGTACACATTTTAATGCAAACATCAAACGATGAATAAGCATAAGGCAAAGAAGAAAAACACTTTACTTTACTTTCATACCATGGTATATACGAAAACACTTCGGTTTTATGCATTCCATTGTACAGATTGTACAGAAGACCTGACATCCTATTGTAAACTATCAAAGCTCTTTTCCATGCAAACAGCAAAGCTTAAAACACCTATTTCACGGTGAAAATTACAAAATTTCATGTAATGATATATCAACAAAGTAACAGATATAGTAAATTATTTCATGATGCCTAAAGGGCTACTACCTTAGCACCGCTGTATTAACCCAGTTTAGCATCGAGGTTCTTTTTGGAAGAGAATCCACTTCCTAGAAGGCTTGACAGGAAACCTTGACTGCTTTTATTATGATCCTTATCACTCAAATTGCTTAAATTGCTAATAAGAGACCAATGCGTATCAAAATCTGGCTCATAACCACTGCGTTGCATCATTTGCGTTAGCTCTGATGCCTTCCTTGGACTGTTTTCTGAGCGATAACTATCAATCACAGAGGAGTACATTAGCCTGGTTGGAGTTTCTCCAACCTGAACCATTGAAAGAAGGAGCTTTTCTGCTTCTGCAGGTTGTCGTTGTTGGCAAAACTGTTGGACAAGCAACCCCCATGTGTTGACACTTGGCTTAAGATCCCTATCTAACATCTCAGCATGGAAATCCATTGCTTGGTTCAGTTGATTTCTAGTGCAGAAACCATGGATAACAGAATCATAACTAGTAGAATTAGGGATATTTCCTTTCTTCAACATTACGTTTATAAGGTCAATAGCCTTGTTCAGTCTTCCAAAGCAACAAAACCGCTTAATTAAATTATCATAATTGATACTTCGAGGAATTAGACCTTTATCTACCATTCGGTCCAGAAAATGTTCTGCTGCTTGAACCTTATCTTGGAAAAGAAGGCCATCAATAACTGCATTTTGAGCAATTGAGCCAAGAACCCACCCTCTCAATTCAATTTCTCGACTCAATTCCAATATTTTACCAACTTCTCCAATATCACACAGGTAGGTTATTACTGTACTTAAGCTGCGGTAGCATGGCCGAAGCTCCTTTGAAATCATTGTAGACAGATAGTGCATACAAGTAGAGATATCTTTGCACTTACAAAACCCATATACAAGAAAATTATAAGTAACTTCATTGAATAGCAACCCCTTCTCCTGTAATTCATTCAAAACCTTGTTCACAACCATAGTTTGCCCAGCAGAGAGAAGATAGAAAACCAGAATGTTGTATATGACGAGGCTATCAGACTTGCTTTCTTGCACCATTAGCTCCTTCAGGCTCAATGCATAATCCACTTTACCCTCCAAACACATCAAGCGCACATGACTGCGATAACTTGAGATTGAGAGGCTTGCACCTATTCTTATGAGAACACCAAGTAACTCCCTAGCTTTCTTAAAGTTTTTGGTTTGGCAAAATCGTTGAAACAGCATATTATAAATATCAGTGTCTGGAAGCAGCCCCTTGGACAGCATATTCTGGAAAATATTGGCTGCTTCTCCAGCCTTTCCTGTCATACAAAATCTTTTATTAAAATCAGCGTGGAATGTAGATTGCTCTCTTGAAACAATTTCTATTAATTCAATAGCTCTCCGAAGTTTATCAGCCTTACACAGCTGAGGAATCAAAATTAGAGAAACATCCAAGCATGGGACCATTTTTCTAGCAAGCATAATGTCTAATATCGTAAAGGCAACTTTATACTTTTGCTCCTTGCATAACCCTCTTATAAGATGGCTATATGCAATTTGATCCAAGACACAACCATGCTGTAGTAGTTCTTCCACCAACAAGTGAGCAATGGTTGAAAAGCCAGAAAAAGAAAGCTTTTCAAGGAAGATATGCAAGACTTCTAACCTTGATTCAAGATTTGACACCAGCATCCTTTCCAAAAGCTCTAGTACCTCCTTCAGCATTCCACGATGGCACAGACATTCAACCAGAGAAATACAATCTACCAACCCTGGTAACCATTTACCATTTCGAGCTAAATCCCAGCAATCATGAAGGCTCTGCAAATTTTTCTTCTTACATAGTCCCTTAATTAGAGCAGTATATGTTCCACCGTTAATTGTTAGACTCCTCTGAAGCATTTGATTGAAAGTTAACCACCCTTCATATGTCAATCCAATCTTGCAGTATGCTTGGACTAGCAAACTGAGAACTTCTTGGTCTAGTTGACTAGCCAACTTTGGCATCTTCTCCAAAAGACTGCTGCATAACTTGATATGGGAATGAGAAACACAAAGCCCCTTTAATAATGTAGAGACACCAGAGAGGGACAGTTCTTGACCCCATCGAGCCATTTCACCTGTCAACAAGTATGCAGCTTTAAAATTTCCATGATTGCATTCCTTCCTTACAAGAAAATCAAAATCAGGTACCAAAGAATCTTCAAGAATCCCAGTTACTCTTTTGTCATACTCATCCAGGTCTGCATCCAAATAAAGTCCATTACCAAGATCATCAAAGAATTCTGTCTTAGAAAACCCAACATCATTGTCCCTTTTCAGCCTAACAGATAATGTCTTGAGCTCCAAGATCATAAATGCCTTCGAAAGTGGATCCTCAAGTGCAGATAATTCAATTAGACCACTGTTCTCCATCTCACGAACCACCACCTTTACTTCATCAAATTGTCTAGCCCTACAATACCCTGCCAAAAGAATTTTGAAAGTTGCTAAACCAGGGGTTGTTCCCATATCCACCATTTCATCAAGAACGTCTCGTCCATGCTTCCACAGGCCTTCCATAAACAATGCACTGATAAGAGCATGATAACACCACATATCAGGCTTTAGGCCTCGAGATAACATCTCTGATAAATAATTGAAGGCATTCCTCAATTTCCTTTCACGACAACACCAACAAATCAAGATCCCGAAAGTTATTTCATCAGGCATAAAGCCCAAGTGCTCCAATTTGAGCCTGAATAAATTTGCTCTCTCTACACCAAAACTAGTACATAAACTAAATAAAATCTTATTGCCAGTAGGCACATTTGGGGAACATTTCATTTCAGCAAAAAACCTTACTGAATCCTCAAAGTCCTTCTTCTCACAATACCCACGAGCAATCTCATTAAGAACCAAGCTGCTAGGCTCAAAACCTAAGGCCATTACCTTCCTAATAAAATTCCTCGCTTCTTGAATCATTCCATCCCTATAAAGTAATCTGACAACATTCTCAAAACTAGCCTTCTCTCTTTCACTGACATCAACTCCCAATTCTACCATATCTAAAGAAACTCGAAATGCCATCTGGGTTCTCTTCATTCTTAACAAAAGATCAACAAGAACACGATAACATGACAACGAAGGCACTAAATCTCCCTCCCTCATTTGATCATACACTAAAACAGCCCTTTCTAAATCACGAACACCAACATACCCTTCAATCAAACTAACAAAAATCCCACTACTATCCATTGAAATTCCTTGTCTCTCCATTGCCAAAAGCAATAACTGAACCTCTCTAAACATCCCATATCTAACAAGAATAGAGGCCATAACCTCACATGACTTAGGAAAATGCCTAAAACCCTTATCTTGTTCCCTAGCACACTTGAAAATCTCCCATAAAGACTCAACCTTTGTACCCTTAACTGCAACTCTTTCACACTCAAATTGAAAACCCATTAATATTTCAAGCACATCTTCTGGTTTCAACCTCAAACCCCTCAAAAAACGACGAGTAAGGTCAGGTATTACATCAGAGATATCTAAAAGCAGGGTTTTAAAAGAAGCATCATTAAAAAAGTTGTCTCTTTTGGGTTCATTTTTATCAAAGAAATGAGAATATTTAGTTATGACAGAGTGTGCAATACCATTAAAGTTAATAAGAGATAAATCTGTGTGGGGTTTTACTGAAGGGTCAGTTAGAGAAGTTGTAAGGAATCGAAATTCAATGGAGAAGTGAGCGAAAAGAGAACTGACCCTTTTGATTTTCGCATTATTGGAGTTGAAAGATGGGATGTTTTGAAGCATTTGATTGCAGAGAAGCTTGCTTCTACTTCTTGCTCTCATGCCTACAATTTCTTGGTATCTGCTTTTTTGGAACGAATAACGAGCGCTGTGGAAGAAGAGGAGGAGTTCAGTTTGTCTTAAACGACTTGCCGTGGAGCCGTCTGATAGACATAGACGACAACACTTGATATGCGAAGCAGAGAGTGCTTTTACAAATAGGATATGAAAGCTCAAATCAGTTCCTTCATGCCCAATCTCTTGTTCAATCGAAATAAATTTTTATCAAAATTATAAGATAATTAAACAACAATACATATATATATATATGGATCTTTCTAAGCCAAAAGTACTCTCTAATTATTTTCTTAAAAACAACCAGGATGAAATAATAATTTATTCTAATCTTTTTTCGGGACATTACCCTTGGGCGTAGGACTTAGGACTAGCTGTGCAACATTGTAGCTCTTAAATCTAGATGAGCCATTTTCCTTTTTTATTTGAAGTGGCCCACCTTTTGAACCATGAGCTTCGGTAATCCTAGGTTAAAAGTTAATCCCTTCGTGCTAACCTTTATCGATTGGTTCTGTTGCTTAATAATAAGAAAATTCTACAACTTCTTCGCAAACGTTCCTGACAGTATCCTATCGTGAAATATACCTATCGTCACTTCTAATTCTTATTAAACTTTTTTAACTTAAAAGAGTATTCTAATTCCTATTAAACTTTTTTAACTTAAAAGAGTATATTGACAATGGAAGAATAAATGATCAAGCCAACAAAAATCAAGTAAACAAATTTAGAAGTCACATGTGGCTAATAAGTAAAAAGCTCATAAATAACTATACTTCAATCGAATAGAAATCAAGTAAACAAGTTTGAAAGCCACTAACGACTTCGCCTACATAAATGAGAAGCCACCGATAGGTTCATTTCAATCGCACGTAAATCAAATAAACTTATTTAGAAGCCACTCACAACTTCAATCATATAGGAAAATTCTATTTATCCCTATTGTTAAATACACCTATTGTCACTTCTAATTCCTATTAAACTTTTTAACTTAAAAGAGTATATTAGCAATGGAAGAATGAATAGCCAAGCCAACAAAAATTAAGTAAACAAATGTAGAAGTCGTAGATGGCTTCATCTACATAAGTGAAAAGCTTACGGATAGCTTCACTTCAATCGAATAGAAATAAAATAAACAAGTTTGAAAGCCACTAGCGGTTTCATCTACATAAGTAGAAAGCCACCGATGGGTTCATTTCAATCGTACGAAATCGAATAAACTCGTTTTGAAGCCACTCACGGCTTCAATCATATAGGTGGGAAGCCATCGTTAGTTTTGTTTCAATCGTATAGAAAATCAAATAATCATATGTTAGACATGAATATTATGTATTCAGCACATCACTCTCAAAATATTAAATCAATCACATCATTCAACACAAACACTCATATCATATTCGAATAAGAACATCGGGATAAATATTTATCTCGGATATACCATTGAAGTTAAATCCCATGCTCGGTCCTCTAGGCTCCATCGCGAGCCTTGATCACCAATCTTATTTCACTCGCAAAATACCTAGAATCTTCAACCCTTTTGGGTTCGATACACGATGGTGTATTTAATCACACTCCAAATCTCAATTATCACAATCCAAACAATATTTATCTCAAGTTAAAAATAGTAAAAATATGATAGCTTTCATCCATAATTTAAAATGATACAATTATTTTAGAATTTTACCCTTTTTTTTTTTTTTTTGAAAGGTTTTGAATTTGTCTAAGGGTTTGATTTGAGGTCAATTTCACTTTCTTCATCCTCGATGAAATCCGATTGTTCAGTTAGTCAAAAAAGAAGATAGCTACTCGTTGTTAAGGAAAAAGTTTGTGAGTATTGCTTAAGTAAAAAAAATGTCCACTGTCGAGAGCTTGAATGTTGATAGTGAGCTATCAAACTAAACTAAGGCTACTGAAAAAGTGACTCATGGCTAAAATGATAGTTGAGGGCATCTAAGACACACTCATTGAAAAGGACTGCAATTGTACATGCATTTGCTACATCGTATAAAATTGTAGTGCTCCCTTCCGGATGACTAATTATAAATAAAACCAAAACAAATTGACAAAACATTATTCAAATCACTATTCTTTTTATTATTCACTCACGTTCATTCGTACTTTTGTTCTTCACATAATTACACCATGTATTTTACTTGTTTATAAGCAAGTTTGCCAAAACAATTACACAAAAATTACACTTCGGTCTCTTATTTTTTAAAACAAACTTTTTTTCAATCTCAATCTTCATTTGTATTGCATTCTAATCCTTAGCTAGTTAGAGGAAAAAGAAACAAAAAGAGAGAGAGAAAAAAAGAAAGGAGAGAGAGAGAGAGAGAATGAGGGAGAGGACAATGAGGCCCATTTCAATCACCCCGACCATCAAACTCCCTACCAATTTGCTTGTTCCGAAGAGTAAAATTTGTTTGTAATGGTCACAAACCATAAAATGGTCGGAGAAGGTAAATTGAAATTCAAAAATATTTTCAAATTTTTTATTTTGATTTGAATTTTTTTAATTCTTTATGTTTATTAAAATAGATTTTGAGATTTTAAACGAGTTTGTTAACATTATTTCTATAATTTTGAGTTGTTTTTGGACCCAAATTGGAGCTGAATTTGGGTTTAGGGAGGCTAAAAATTAGGAACATGACTTTTCAATAATTTTTCTAGTAAAATCAAGTTTGTTAAAAATTACGGACAAATGACGCATTGTCAACTTTCTTTTTTATTTATTTATTTATTGAACATGACATGCGCACGGACCTAGTAATCCAAGCCCAAACACACAAGTTAAGTGCTCCAAGCCCCCGAACACGAGCTCGGACTTTTTTTTTCCTTTAAATTTTTAAATTATTAAGAATTTTTAGGCAAAAGTTATAGAAGATCGAACGACATTTTTTTTGTTCTTTATGTTGTCTAGAGAGGATAAAATATATATATTTTTTATATTTGTTTTAAATTGATATATATTTCAAATTATATTACACTTATTATTTAAATTTTATTCTTTCAATTTGTCATTTAAAAAAAAATTCTTATCCGAGTTAATTTTTAGTTTTTATAAAATTTTAATTACCGATAAATAAATTTTTTTTCTTATAGATTTTGGAATAAAATTTTAAAATATAATTGTTTTCTCTTTTTTAAAATATAAATTGATATAATATATATCGTGAATACTTAGAATTTTTAAATGATATATGTATATATATATATATAAAGATTAAAAATATATTTCGGATTATTTGTCTTAACTCATTAATTATGGTTGTGATGTATAAAAAACTATTAAATTCTCGACTTTATTGAAATTTAATTATAAATCTATACGCATAACACTAATAATTTGCTATAATGTTTTTTAATATTTTTAAATTATTTTTTAAAATAATAATTAAAATATTAAAAAAAAAAACCATCCCATCTTTCAAATATAATTTTTTATACTAAATAGTCTTTTTCTTTTTTTTTTTTTTCATACACTCCTTGTAAAAGACGAATCTCACTCGCTAAAAAGAAGACAGACTAAATTGTTCCATTGACGTGACCTTGAATTACTATCCAATCAATGTTGGATAAACCGTGTCGGAAAATTTTATAATAAACAAGGAGTAACTAGTGGCATGTACGGTAGTTACTCCTTAGGTCCACTTTGAGGAGAGAGATAGACACATAAAAAAGAAGAAATTACATCCATACCCACTAAAAGTGATAAGAAGATTTTCACATCCGCTCAAATTTTTTTATTTTCTCTCTCCTATTTTTCTCTCTCTCTTTTTATGTGTCTATCTCTCTCCTCAAAGTGGGCCCAGGAGTAACTACTGTACATGCCACTAGTTACTCCTTGTGTATTATGAAATTTATCAACTATGTTGCTAATCATTATGGTTAATATAGTAAAGTTTGGCCAACTTTCGCACAGACTACTCGTGTTGGATAATCAATGTTGTATTTTTAATTACGTCTTTTACACGGCTTTGTAATACCCTAAAAAAGGCTCAAGATAAATTAATTGAAAACAAATTATGTTAATCAATGTAGCAAGAATGTAGTTTTGATACTACACATGCATGTAAGATAAATTCGAGTATGTCCGGACATATAATTTTAGAAAAAACTAATAAGAAATATATTTATTTTTGTATTTGAATAAATGATCAAGCAATTATTTAAAAAAAGCTGTCGTAAAAAAAATAATTTTATGCTCTATGGTAATATTTTACATTTTATAATTGTCAATGGATGATATATAATTTCGCGTAATGTTTACATGATCAAATTGAAGATATTTTTTTAATTTAATTTTACATAATGTTCATATACATGATATAAAAAATAATAATTTTATGCTCTATCATAGATGAAATCATATATATATATATATATATATATATATATATATATATATATATATCATGATCTATGAATAAATGATCGCACTAGAGGAGGATTGCACGGCCGGAGAAAAGAAGGAAATTGGAGACTGCAGCTAGAAGAAAAAAATTATAAGCATACGGATTCATTAGACAAGCAATTGAATTTTCTTTAATTATTATTATAATAGATTGTCGATGTGATATTTTATTTTCAGATCTAATAAAATTTTTTATGGAGAGATAAAGCTGTTAAGTTAGGGATTGATGATTTTAATTCCTATTTTATGTGATTAATTATTTTTCTCAACTCAAGACTCGATTCTCGATGTATGATGAATTTATATTGCTGAATTTAATCCTTTAAGAGAGTGATCACCCCCTATTGATTTAATGACATGTGCTTGAGCCCGAGAGGAAATTATATGTGTTAGATCAGAATAATATAAATCATTAGTTTACTATTAATCGAAAGACAATTAGTTCTAGTGCGATAATGAAAAAGAGAAGTGCGTGATGATATGCTTATTTTACATTAGAGGATTCTATTGATTCTAATGCATTTAGATCTTAATTTAAGTCACATAGAAATATGGATGATTTGTTAGGTGAAGAATA